TACAAGGTGTGTCACAAAAGTGTGGCGAAGCAAAGTTATACTTTTTTGAATGGAAAAAAAAAACCGTATATTATTGTCTCATTGGATTTGCCTCTCAAACCTGATTCCAAATATATTAGGTTTTTTTAGGTTTATTCCTAATAGTCCAGGAGAAAATACGACAAAAAGGGATGGAATAATTGCATTTTTATTTTATTGAAAAAGGTGAAGTATAGAGACCACCAGCAAAATATAAGGGTAATCATTCATGTAAAAAATCCATATTATTTCTTCAAAATGGGATATTCAGAGGCTGGCCTATGAAGAATAAACCTGAAAAACCTAGTATATTTGAAATCAGGTTCGAAAGGTTAATCCAATGGGACAATAATATACAGGGTTTTCCATCTAAAAAAGTGAAACTTTCCTTCGCCACACTTTTGTGACAACCTGTATACTTGTAACTAACATCATTGAAAACTTTCTGATATTACCTACAACTTTTACATTTGACATTTCTGGGTATCTCTTCAAACAGGTGAGATAGGTGTGGGTGCAAAATATAGACAATCACCCGGTACACGGGCAATATACCAGGGTGTCCATTTAGTGCGACATCGGACGATATCTCCTTACAGCGTGATGCAAGAAAAAAAATTTAAATTCCAATGTTGTTTGATACTCAAATATGCATTAATTGAAAATATTTTTGAATATATAGGGTGTTCCGTTCATGGGGTATGCGACAGAACTTTGTTATTTTAAATGGAACACCCTGTATGTGATTACATATTTGGATTCTACGTAAAATTCTGAGCAGATTTCATGTGATATACCCTATACCTAAGTTCAACTGTTTTGGAAATATTGACAGTTGAAAATTGATTTTTTGCAACTTTGACAGGCTGTAAAACCTAAACGGTTAATTTTAGATGAAAACCGATTTTACGTTCCTATCTTAGATTTTCATAAACTATCATTTGACACCAACTTTGAATTTAACCGGAGATTGAATTTAACTGGAATTTTCAATCTCCGGTTAAATTTAAAGTTGGTCTCAAATGATAGTTTATAAAAATCTAAGATAGTAAAATCGGTTTTCATCTAAAATTAACCGTTTAGGTTTTACAGCCTGTCAAAGTTACAAAAAGTCAATTTTCAACTGTCGATATTTCCAAAACAGTTGAGCTTGGGTATAGGGTATATTACATGAAATCTGCTCAGAATTTTACGTAGAATCCAAATATGCAATCTCATACAGGGTGTTCCATTTAAAATAACAAAGTTCTGTCGCATACCTCATAAACGGAGCACCCTGTATATTCAAAAATAGTTTTAGCTAATTCATATTAGAGTATGAAACAACTTTGTAATTTAAATTTTTTTTCTTGCATCACCCTGTAAGGAGATATCGTCCGATATCGTACACCCTGTATATTTTCCAAATTTGCCTAGTGTGAGTCAGGCTTAACAACAAAAAGTCTGTTCTGAAAAATTTAGATCAGACTGTTTTTGTCAATGTCAAAGCTGAACAAATGTATGTAAATGCAACAAAGGGTAGTGTGTTATATGTTATATCATTGTAATCGGAATACGATATTTCATTAAACACATCTATAATTTATTGAGTGTCCCATTTGAAAAAATATATTGTAGGTTTATATGTTAGAAAATTGATAGTGTTTTGTTTATTATGTGACTTGCAAAAAAACTTGGCTACTAACCCTACATTTTCTTTTTCTTGTTTAGCTTGATATCTTTAAAAACAAAAAAGTTACAGGTGATCAAAAAGATAAAAAAAAACACCTACATACTTTAGAGCATATCCAGGAGGAGGGCTGCCGGGCTGCAGCCTCCCCCAAAACAAGTCTAGATTTTTTTTTTTTTTGTTCCAGCGTATTTTATTGACATGTAAAGTTTTTGTATAAAAAAATAGAAATAATAGTTATTTATTATACAAGGGAAAAAAGTACTAGGGAGACAACACAGCGAGCGCTAAAATCTTACTTTTTTCCAATGTATAATACACTATTTTTTTCTGTGACGGGAAAATCTCAACATTTTCCATCTAAGGTACCTGACCCAAATAAGGCCATGTACCTAATAAGGTCAATGCCCCTTATTGCTTAATATTGAATCCCATATTCAAAAATTGAAATATTATTGAAAAAGATATCTATAATGCAAATCAAAAATTATTGCGAGGATTCCTAGCAACTTGTTATATGTCGAAAAATGGCTAACCACAGATTTCATATGTCACGTTATAACTTTGAGGCTGGAACTTAATTAGTTTATACACATGTTCATAAAGGGAATGGAGCGAATGTAATTTTTACACGAACATTTATGTATTGAGAAAGCTACAGAGTAAGTACAGAATAATATCTTTGCTAGATTTCTAGTTACAGAATTTTTTTATCAATGTAACATGTTCCTAATAAGGCCACATAAAAAATTTTCAATTGGCCTCACATCACAGTGTTTTTTTAAAAGAATGTGTCATATTATTGCTTAAGTGATGTGTTCTAGAGCGCCTGAAGTCTAACCAAGCAAGAAAAGCTGCGGTTCATTTGTCCTAGTTGTATGTAGACCTATTCGGATTACCATCCCTGGACTTAAAATTATTGTTTTTTTAGAATGCAGCAAACGTGAAAGTTCTATTTTGAGAACTTTATGTCGAAAAATAATATTTTTATGAATGATTCTATTTATTTTAAACATGTTTTATTGTTGGCATTATTAGGAGCATAGTGATCCGAATAAGGCCAATGGTAAGGGTCTTTGTTTTACGCAAAAACCACCACTTATATGTAAAAATAAATAAATTGGAGTTAATATTCAAGTAATAGAAGCTAAACACTTCACATATAAGCTCGTGATTCTTGTTGGGTTTAGTGGATAGTGTTCGGAAAAAATAAAACTTCTTAACATGGCCTTATTTGGGACAGGTACCTTATACATTATTCCCTTTAAAAAAAAATTGACTGGTACCTGTTACTTTTTTCCCTCGGGAAAAAAAATTGACTGGTACCTGTTACTTTTTTCCCGTGGGAAAAAAAATCACTTTTTTCCCACAGGTACAAAAACTCTACTTTTTTCCCGTTACAGAAAAAAATTTCTTTCTTTCTATAATAAGGTTTTTCTATGGCGGGCGCCTAATGCAGCAAGGAAATCAGTGCTTCATCTTAATCATCTTAAATGTCCGAAATACTTCCTTCCTCAGGGGCCCAAATCTCGTCTCAGGAAGTAGAGCAGTAGAGCTCTCCGATAGAACGCATGTTTTGTCCTTGTCAACGTAATCGGAAAGTAGAAGAGTATGGATAAAGACGTAAAATGTGTTCTCTCGGGGAGCTCTACTCCCTGAGACCAGAATCGGAGCCCCTACTTATTCTTGAAACCAGGGACCAGCGTTCTCATGAGAACGATTGCTCTGTCTTTCTCAATGATATGACACTGATAGTAACAAAGACGGAACACTTGTTCTCCTTGGAACGTATCTCCCCGGTCTCAAGAATAAGGACCCAAGGAGAGAAGGTGCTCCGTGAACAAGATTTCTCCTCCTTACCAAAAAAAGCGAATATGTGGCCGGATGCGAATTTTTTTGTCGCCCCGCAAAAAAAAAGGCGCGTAATACGATTCTTGACGCGGAACATTTATTGGGTACCTATGTTATAGGTGAATTCCTGAAAAAAATAGGCAACTTTCACATTTTTAAATTAATCTGTTAGGTAGTCATTCTGATAACATATGTATATATTTTTTTTTTCAAAAAAAAAAATCGAATTTTCAAACTGCTGCGAAAACGCGGGATAGGAAAGGGACGTCACTTTCTCAAACATGCGAGGATGCGGAATTTCTCATTAGTAAACCATTCCAAAATATGGCTGATGAAAAACCAATTAACTTTAAACTACATGTACCTGAAATGGCTCGCCCAGCCTAGCTATAAAATGAGGCAAATTGAGATGAAGAATGTGGGGGATATCTATCTCTATTTACCTTATGGGTCAATTATAATGTCAATGAACTAGAGAGAACAAGGTATCCCTCGCTATATATAGCTATCTTTGGACTCATTGAGAGAGATGACAAATGCCATCTCCGACAACGGTCGGTGCCATTCCAGGTACGTGTAGTTTATAGTTCATTGTAAAAAACTAGTCACAGCCTATAACCTATTTTCGTCGTTTTCTACTTGATAAAAAAAGAAAGAATAGGTATAATCGGTGGACTCTAGCTACCTAGTAAAATTATCCTAAAATGCTTCGTCATTTCTAATGTGGCAATAAGCGCATGAATGCTTTAGGCACATGAAAATGGACTATTGTGCGCAGCTTTTTTTTTTTTTTTTGGTCAACCCTTTTTGTTAATACAGCCCCCCCCCCCCCCCCCCAAACCAAAATCCTGGATACGCCAATGCTTTAGAGGGATTAAAAGTACACTTTTATCCCCTGTTTCATTTAATCCCAAGAAAAAAAAATAAAAATTTAATCTCCAAGAAATAAGTGAAATTTAATCCTGGGGATTGAAAGACTCACTTCACTCCCTTAAAACAGGCATTACAAGGGTACTTACTTTCAATCCCTAAAGTGCATAAAAAGTATTTTTAACGAACTTGAATCACGGCTGCCTATGAGATCAATTTAATTTTTTAACTTGAAAATAGGAGTTGATGCGTAATAAGAACCGGAAAAACAGAACTATTTTGACGTCGAAGCAAGCGCGCTAAATTTACATTCAATTAACGTTCGATATTTTGGGAAAGGCCAAAATTTTGAATCTATTAATTTACTTTATCAAGTAGTTACTATCAGCCGTATGCAACATCCTGCATCCTCTTTTAACTTTAAAAGCGATTTTCAATAAAGCTGTCAATTTTAAAAATTTGTAGATAGATAGATTAGAATACAAATTTTTAAAAGTGAGAAGTTTCAAAAAGTGCTTTTAAATTAAAAGAGGATTTTGCATGCCGCTGTACGTCTCTAGTTAGATAGGTAGTAGAAGTCATGAGTACTTACAAAAGATTCAGGGATACCTCTGGACTCTCAATAAAAGGCTGTCCTAAATGCACTTTGACAAACTCAGTAATGGCAAATACCAACTTTTCTTCTTGCATCGTTTTGATAAGCAACAATTTTTCAAAGTCACTCAGTATGTGATTCCAGTCAACCTTGCTAGCCTGCGCATTATGCGCCATTTTGATTATCAAAGTGAAACCTCCTATCGAAATCGTTATAACCTTGGTAATTTCTGATGGTAAATGTTCAAATTCTTCGTAGCCCAATGCCAGGAAGTTTGCTGCTTGCCACATGGCATCGGTAATTAATACCAACTACAAAAAGCATAAACTCGATGACTGTGGTATATAGAGGTGGAAAAGAGTTGAACTTACATCTGGCTTTTTGGCTTCAGTTTTACTGCCAACTGCGCCTCTGAGCAAAAAACTCCATTGCGCATCAGTAACCTCACCTTCTTGTCTCATGATGGCGATGCACAACATAAAACTGAACACTAACTTGTGGCGCTCGAATAAACCTCTGGATATAATGGTGTAAACAGCTAAAGTACTGTCAACTATCAAAGTGTGTAAGCGGATTTCTAATACTGGATCTTTTGGGGCTGTCACTGTTACATTATTGAAAACCTACAAAGACCAAGTGGAAAATATTTTTTTATGAGTAGTAACATGTACTAACCTGACTAAAATACTTTAAAGAATACTGATACATAGGATCTATTTCTGCAAGTTCAGCTACAACAAAATAAAGTACCGAGCCTCTGGTAGCTACAGATCGGTACCGTTCGCGAGTTATTGATATTTTTTTTTCTGTAGCTTCAGTTTCCATCAGTCTGGCTTCTATAATGGCAGAAGTTTCCTTGCTTTCATTTAAAGTCTCAATAAGCTCTTCATCATCAAGAATGTTTCCTTCGGAACGGTATAGAAGATACAAAATTTTATCTTCAATTCCTTTCAATTGAGCTTTATCGCTGTTGATTTTCACCACAAGTTCATTCCTTTGTTTCTCTAATTCAGGTCTTTCTAGCCTCACAACATCCCTGAAAACAATCTACATATTTCCTAATTAATTATATTTATTTGCCCTTACGCTAAAAGTTGATCCTCGAGTCCTGAAGGAGTTACAGTAAAGTTAACAATGGTCACCTGAATACAAACTTCAGGTAGGTAATGAGGATTGGCCAGTTTAGTCGTAATATAGAGCTTAAAATTTGCGTCATATTCAACGTCAGAGTCACCTAGATGAATTAGAGTTCTGCCGCCCTGAAATAATCAATTAATCACTGAAAACGTACTCCCGAGCTCTTGAATATTTACCTGTACAAACGTTTGCTTCAAAAGAATAGGTCCCAAAGTGGGATCCAAGGACTCTCCAACTTCTTCAAGCAACACAGGCGTACCGATCCTGATACCGTTTTCCAGGAAACGCATAAAATTGGAATCTGTCAGCTTGATAACCTTCAAATTATTGTCGACTTCCATTTGCCGAACCCATCTGTTCGCTTGTTCCTGAGGGTCAATCATAAGGGGCCATCGTCCTGCTTTAGTTACCATGATTGCATTTTCTGTAGACACGTTGTCCCGAGGTAAACCGCAAGCATTCCAAGTTCTTATGTCATATGGATCTGCCAGTACATTTAATAAACTGCCGATGAAGTTATTTATTAGTTTTATTCAAATGGTGGCGATTATGGTTTACTAACTTGAAACCCTCACTTGATGGTATATTTTGTTCTTGACACTTTTCCTCCCATATACTTGTCAACTCTTGACGATAGTTTGCGGTGAAAGCTCCTTGGTAAGCTACACAAGCGGCAGCCATTAATACATCACCAATGCAATTGATTAACTCTTCAGCCATTCTCTTAAAAAAATATAATAGAGTTCAAAAAATGATAAATCAAGTAAATACAGATATTTCACCTTTACACTCTCTTCCCATCGATGTTGTTCATCACCCAAAGCAATATTAAGTCTTCCAGCTCTGTTCAATCGTGCCGATGTCAAAGCAATATTGTTTTCCAAAGCTTCCTTTTCTGCCACAGTAGCATTAAATTTGGCTTCCAGGGCGGCTATCATCGCCTCTACATCTGCCAATTGCTTTTGCTTTTCTCTCAAAATACTCATTACTGCATTCAACTCTTTTTCTGCTGCTTGAAGCCTAAAAATTTTCTTGAATGTAGACCTATAGCCAATAGATAGGTAATTTGTAAAAACTCACTTTTTCCTCTTGGGCTCCACTATCTTATACACTTTGGCGTACATGTCTATTGCTCGAACCCACATGCACAAGCTCTTGCAAGCCTTGCTTACAGTAACAATTCTTTCGGGAATAAACTCCGGATGTTCAACGTATGTTTTCAGCTTCTTAAGGATCTGGTCGGTGATATGGTCCTTGTCGTATTCTTGCAGCTTTTTTAAGAAGTTCGTGTCACCCAGGACTATCTTCGCAGATGCCCAATTAGTTCTAGAAACAGTTAATGATAAAAGTCTAAGAGACGGATGTAAACATTTAATGGGTATCACACCAAAGTAGCATACGACGTGCGACGTGCTGCTAGAAAGCCAAAGGCATGCTACTTATTTTAGAACCTTTTAAAATATATGGCTGCTTTCACTTCAGAGTGGCTTCGCAAAAATGCGAAGTGGCTCCATGCGTCGTGCGACTGGAATTGAAGCATATGTCTTATCATAAGCGACCACTCGATACCGAGTATGATTATCTTCTATCCTATTCTTATTGTCGGCACGTGACTGGATCAGACAGTGTCAATTCACAAATCACGTGCGTGTCAAAATATCGGAGCAAATCGACGAAAAAGATGACAAAAACGAACAGGGCTTCTAATAGTTATATAAACCAATTCTAAAGCCGCAAGCTCTTCCACAGTCTTGACATACAAAGTCTGTGGCAGCATTGTCTCTCCCTCTGTTCTCTCGTTCCTTCCTGCGGCCACTCATTTCCGGTCTCATTTTGTGGTCCGTCGTGGAGTACTCGACGTCATGAGGGCCTATCATTTGCTATCTCCTATTTGCTGGTATCGATGCGGCACTTTGCCATATTTTCCTTTAGAACATCTTTGTAGCGTTTTGATTGACCTCCTTGATTCCGTTTTCCCTCTTTCAGTTGACTGTAGAAAATTTGTCGTGGAAGACGTGTTTCGGGTCGGGCATGCGGATAAACAAACATGCCGTATATTTTGATGATTTGCGACGTATTTGCAAGATGCACAAATGTTGTTTATAGATTTTTGATTTGTTTCATAGTTATAATTTCAAGTTGATTGCTGTAGGTACTTGTGATGGGTCAGGTGAAAATTCTGAAATTTGATCATACTCATTTTGTTCTCCAAGTTTTGCTCCATTTTGCTCCACCACCGTCGAGTTTTGCTCTATTACGAGGAGAGACCTACAGAGCTCCCAAGAATATCTCCCAGAACATGTTCATTTTGTTCTCCGAGTTTTGCTCCGTTTTGCTCCATTATCGTCGAATTTTGCTCCATTATTAGGAATGACCTACAGAGCTCGAAAGAATCTCTTCTTGCGCCCCAGTGAAAATTTTGAAACTTAAAATTACTCCGAAGTACTCCGGCTACAATTTTACACATTCGAGCGCAGAGTTTGGCGCTCTCACTTTCCTCGCCTGTCTCCCCTGATGCACCTCTAACTGATTTTCAAGCGTTAGAGTGCAAAGCGCATTGAGTATAATGGGCGTGAAATGCTCCAAATGCTTCGCACACTGCACCAAAAAGCGGCTCTGGAATGAACCAGCTCGAATCTCTCCTTGCAACACGTGTAAAAATTTTGGAGTTTCTATATGCGCATTTTGTTCTCCGAGTTTTGCTCCATTTCAAATCAAATCAAATCAAATAAGCTTTATTGTCCAAAAAACAGATACATTTTTATTGAGGAATGTTCACTATTTTTCAATTGTAATAAAAAGTGGTGCTTCTAGGTCCACAAAACACGTATTAAACGTTAAAACATCTAGAAACCCTTAAATTTTCCTAATAAATCGAAAAAAAAAAACCGAAATTAGCGAGGCTAGCAAAACGATCCCTTGCGGCGAGAGTAGCGCTTGTGACGTCACTGTGTGGAAGGAATAATCAGCTGGCGCGTTGGCGAGATTTGTTTACAAGTTTACATTGAATTTATTGTGTTGCTGACTATTGCTTTATCCCAAGAAGCTTCATTCACTCTAATTATCTGTGTGTAATGATGGGAGACTCAAACAAAGTTAAACCGAGTCGAAAAAAGTGGTACCTACTGTAAATAACTATATATCACTGTTCAAATTCAATACCTACGTTTAATACGTCTGTTTTAATTTTACTCCACTGGACTGGGCGACTGGGGCAGAAATCGGCCTTTTGAGAACCTTCTTCCATTTTAGCCATAGTAGCTTTTCTACCTTAATTTCGATAAACCCTAACACAGAGATCAACACGAAGAAGAGAGCAGCACTATCAAAATACTTGTTAAACGTTAAACAGACTCTCTCGTTGAATTGAAACCTAAACCATAAGTCCAGTCTGTAACTGTTAATAGCGGATAATTTGGAGCGAATCAAGAGCCGGGAATAATCAAAATTCGAATTAGATGACCAATCCATAGAATAAGCAGGTTTAAGGAATGTACTTATATTGACATTTTATCTGCAACTATTTACGATATAAGAATTGCCTACAATGTATTTGTCTCTCTTCCGCTCATTGCAAAAAGTATTTGGACAATTAATAGAGTTCACTACTCAGGGTGCTTTCTAACATTCAATCACCATTAGTTCATCAGTATCTTTATCTAAATGCATATGAAAGAAAAAGACACTAGTAATAATAATATTAATATTTTTTATTGCCAACAAAAATCGCAAAAGCAACGTCACAAAAGGCTGATCCAAGTAGAAAGTAGCGCCACTGTACTTGCGCGCCCTAACTCGTTACGCATTGTGACGTCAGAGAGCGTTTCTTGCTTTTAAACGAATATTGATATTTCGTCTCCGTTTTTCTCATAGAAAGAATTTTCTGATTTTCGTAAAATTTTGTAGATTTGCTTAAGAAGAAACGATGCTTAATAATTTGATGATTGTTAAACGGGATTTTTTTATTTTGTGAACATCCCTATTGTCTTAAAAAAAAATTAAAAAAAAATTTGAACCTTATTAAACAAACAAATACACATATTCGGTCCAAAATCAGTAAAATTTCGAAGTTTTTATAAGTACATTTACACCTAAAAAAACCCAAATTCCACTCAAGTATTGCATAATGCATTTTCTTCATAAAATTCACTTACACTATACAAGGCTTTGGTAGTTAAATGCTGTTTGACACACAAACGAAATGCATTGAGGGACCGCGAATGCTCAAGTGTAAACGGCTGTGCGCGCACGCTCGCTCTGAATCTTTCTGTGCGCGAATAGCTGCGAACGCGAGCCGACCAGTGCTCAATTTGAACGAGAATTTGGTTTGTGCGTCCATACGTAGAAATATTTGCATTTATTATTTTTTTGTGTTAGTGTGGGGTTATTTTCTTTGCTATTATTATCATGGAATATGGTCCAACAATTTATCACTATTATTGTTTCAAGAATACGAAAGTTCCCATTTTATAGGATGTGAATCATCCCCATTATTATTTCAAAACAAAACATGTGACGCACGGGAACAACTAGTTAATAGAATGAATGTTGATATCTATACCATTTCCAGGATTATTTCACACTAGTGAAATTTGATTTCAAATTAATGAAAAGTAAATTCACATCAGTGAAATCTAATTTCGCATCAGTGAAATCTAATTTCGCTCAAATGAAAATTGATTTCAAAGTAACGAAAACTAATTTCTCACAAACGAAATTTGATTTCACATTTTTGAAAATAAATTTCAAACTGATCCTAATTAATACTCATTTTTCAAACATTTATTATTTTAATTAGAAAAAAACATCAACAAATGTTATTTATTTCACCCTAATGAAATAAACCCACTGAGTTCACATAACATAAAATACAATGAAGAGGGTGATTCGTGGCTTAGGACAAAAAAAATAAAATAAAAGGCCTGGTAAGTCTTTGCCAACGTTTCGCCAAAAAGTTTAGGACTTCGTCAGGGCTAGAATATACAGGGTGGCCAATTGAAAACGAAACAGAGGTGATTTTGGGCTCCCCAAGACATTTAAGAAAAAACCCTCGTACCCGTCGATTTCTGATTTAAGGGGGAACCATTTTTCTGGTGGTTTCACCCCCTGGGGGGCAAAGCCCTAGCGGGGGTGACAAGGGCCCCCAAAATTTTAAATGGAATGAGGGGTCGAGTGATACCTTATTTTGAAGCTATTTTTATGTAGATTATAACCCCCGAGTCTTACATCGCTACTATCTACCTAGCCAGTACAGGGGCTAATTAAAGTTACAAAAACATGTTAGAATATTTTTATTTAAAAAAATGCTTTAAAAACAAAATCAATCAAGTAAATGCTGAAGATGAAATCCGAAGAAAAAATCTAACGGGCTTAAATCTAGAGAACGCGGGGGCCTCTCCGAATCCATTGTCCTGGAAACCTTTGGTCCAAATATTGACGAATCACTGCAGCATAGTGGGGTGGCGCACCATTTTGTTGAAATATTAGACGGTTTTCCATGTATCCGTTATCATTCTCTAGTATCTCCACCAATTCTGGATGAATCGCATCTTCTTATCACTCTAGGTACATTGCTCCTGTTAAATTTATAGGTAAAGAAGGGGTCTATTATACGGTTACCAAAAATGCTAGCCTAAACACTCAATTTCTCGGGATGTTGCGTGTATACATCACGAAATATGTTTTCTCGGATTTGAATTAGCCCAATAGCGGCAGTTGAGACGATTCACCGTACCGTTCAAGAAAAAAGGAGCATTCATCAGAGAAATATACAAACTGCTGCTCCATTTCTTGAAAAAAAAAATAATTGGGTTATGAGTTTTTCAATGATGAGGGAGGAGGAAATAAAACGGAAAAGGGGGTTAGTAGCACATCAACTAAAATACCATTTAATTATACTCCATTATTTAATACAATTTTTTTATATTCAATACAATATTTATTTAATACAATATTTCCAGGTATACATACAATATTTCCAGGTATAATACGTACGAAATAACGTCCTAGGGCATTATGGAGATGTATAGATTATTTGAGTATTTGGGCTAGCATTTTTGATAGCCGTATAATAGGCCCCTTTTTTACCTATAAATTTAACAGGAGAAATGTACCTAGAGTGGTTAGAAGTTGCGATTCATCCAAAATTGGTGGAGATACTAGAGAATGATAACAGATGCATACACTTATATTCCAACAAGATTGTGCGTCATCCCACTATGCTGCAGTGACTCGTCAATATTGAGTGGCCCCCGCGTTCTCCAGATTCAAGCCCGTTAGATTTTTTCTTCTGAGGTCATTTTCAGCATTTACTTGATTGATTTTGTTTTTAAAGCATTTTTTTAAATAAAAATATTCCAACATGTTTTTGTAACTTTAATTAGCCCCTGTAATGGCTAGGTAGATAGTAGCGATGTGAGACTCGGGGGTTATAATCTACATAAAAATAGCTTCAAAATAAGGTATCACTCGACCCCTCATTCCATTTAAAATTTTGGGAGCCCTTGTCACCCCCGCTAGGGCTTTGCCCCCCAGGGGGTGAAAACACCAAAAAAATGGTTCCCCCTTAAATCAAAAATCGACGGGTACGAGGGTTTTTTCTTAAATTTCTTGGGGAGCCCAAAATCACCTCTGTTTCGTTTTCAATTGGCCACCCTGTATATTAGGAACCTCAAAAAAGTTCTAACAAATAACTGAAGTTTACATACCTTGTACTTAAATAATTATGTGGCTAGAATTATATTGTGCAAGATTTTTCAGGATGGAACATTCGATTGCACATAACAAAATCACAATACATTGATAAAATTGTGAAAAGACAAATTTTTTATTATTATTTTTTTGTCCTAATAACTTCACTTAGATAAAATACAATCATGAAACAATTAACAATAATAATCATAAGTTATTTAAATAAATTGAATTTCAGTTGAGTCTTCTCACTCTTAAGATAGCTGCCTTTCCACCTGATTTGCCAAACTGAAGTTTAATTTATTTCAATAATTCATAATAATTATTGTTGTTACATGATTGTATTTTATGTTATCTTAACTCAGTGGGTTTATTCCATCAGAGTGAAATATATACGCTTGTTGATGTTTTTTTCAAATTGGAATAATAAATGTTTGAAAAATGAGTATTATTATTAGGATCAGTTTGAAATTTATTTTCAAAAATGTGAAATCAAATTTCGTTTGTGAGAACTTAGTTTTCGTTACTTTGAAATCAATTTTCATTTGAGCGAAATTAGATTTCACTGATGCGAAATTAGATTTCACTGATGCGAAATTAGATTTCACTGATGCGAAATTAGTTTTCATTAATTTGAAATCAAATTTCACTAGTGTGAAATAATCCTGGAAATGGTATAGATGTTGATAAAGCGCAGGAAAAGATTAAGAGCCTCCCAGGATCATTTAGGCGCGAAAAAAGCAGAATTATCACCATCGCAATAAATGCAGCCGCGGCAATGATATTCATGTAGTTTACTACGTCGTTCGTGAACAAAATGGATCAGCCCATTCGTCAGAAACGGAACTTTGGTTTAAACGGCGTTGGCGAGCACGAGCGAATGCCGTGCGCTTATGCTCAATGCGTGCGTGCTCAAGTCTAAACGCACCTAATTAGAGCATTCTTTAATTTGTTGCGGTAAATGATTGTACATTTTAATACTTTCATAAATAACTGAATTTTTCGTGAGTGTAAATTTAGGGATTGGAAAGGGTACATTATTTTGTCGGAGGTTATAGTTACTCGCCTGAACATAATCGGCATTCTTTTTATAGACAAGGCTCACCGATTCCAATATAAAAAGAGATGGCACTGTCATTATTCCCTCCTGACAAACAACGGTTTGCATGATTCTGTGCATTTTTTCTTGCACCAGTAACGCACAGCCCTCTTTTGAAGAACAAACACTGCTTGGAGTGATTTTTTAGTGGAGTAGCCCCAGAAAGCTATACCATACCGGATGTGTGACTCCATAGAGAAATATGCATTTTTTGCAGTAGTTTTGCCAAGCTCGTGCGCAATGGTCCTAATAATATATCGGGTCTTCAAAAAAAAAACCCAATCGAAGATTGCTTTGATTACGAAAACGTACGTCGTATTAATGTTCCTTTATTGGTCAGGATTTTTGACATGACATTTTGACATTAAAGTTCATTGACAAAATTTAAAAAAAATATTGCTAAGACATACGTTTGAAAAACCATAGCAATCTTTGATTGGTTTTTTTTTTAAGACCCGATAGCATGCACTAGCCAGTCTTATTTAAAATTTCAATATGGCCCTCAAACTTGAGGAGTGCATCAATATCCAGTCCCAAATATCTCACGGATGGTTTGCTTTCGAGAGTTTCGTCCTGCAACTTAACATTTGTTATATTGCACTTAAATGTTAGGATGTTCGATTTTTGTACATTGAAGCAAAGTTTATTTGTATCGCACCATTTCTTTATCTCCAAAAGATCGGCTTCTATGGTTGCCTTGAACTGGTCTAAGTTTTGATCCAAGCTCGATTTTCTCGTGGTCCAGAGTCCGTTTGCATCATCAGCAATAGCTGTTAATTTTGCTACAAATTTATAACCAAGCAGGCATCTTTTACCAATCTCTATAAACACCTTAAAATTATAAGATGATTATTTTTCTCTCCTGTTTTCAAATATTTTCTTTCCCATTCATAAATTCGGAGTTGTGGAAGAAATATATGCAAAATCAAAAAATATGTCATTATTCTAATCTTGGAAATAATAAAATATACGTGCATAGCAGAGATTTAATATCTACTAACGTGACAAGATAGGTAACGCCCTATCTGAAAGCATTGAAGCAAGGTGGCACAAACATGTTTTTTAAAATCTCTACGTGTTCCCAAGAAATACGTAGAGGTATTCCATTCGAAGCAAAGGTTCCCATAGGCGTACCCATAAAAAAATTATTTTGTGAAATATACGGTATATCCACTTGAGTTCGCAGCACATGGGAAACTTTTTTATTATTAACTTTACGAAAAAGAGTTATTCTTTATAAAAGTTTCTGCTTCTTGAAAAAATAATATTAAACTATTGAAACTTGAAATAGCATGTGGTGGTCAAAAAATATAAAAATATACAGGATATTTCCGAAGTACGGTTCGTAACTTCAGGATGTGATTGCTTACAATATTTCAAGAAAAAAAGTTCCCATAAACATATGGCCGGAAATGCGTAGTTTCTGAGATAAAGTTTAGATAAGGTTTAGAAAAAATCGTTTTTTCTGTGACGGGAAAAAAGTAGACTTTTTGTACCTGTTGACAAGGGCAAAAATGTCACTTTTTCTCCCATGGGAAAAAAAACACTTTTTTCCCAAAAAGTAACAGGTACTAGTCAATTTTTTTCCCGAGGGAAAAAAGTAACAGGTACCAGTCAAATTTTTTTCTTAAAGGGAATAATGTATAGATGGAAAATGTTGAGATTTTCGCGTCACAGAAAAAAATAGTGTATTATACATGGGAAAAAAGTAAGATTTTAGCGCTCGCTGTGTTGTCTCCCTCCGCTTCGCGTCGGGAGACAAACCACACCTTGCGCTAAAATCTAGTACTTTTTTCCCTTGTATAATAATAACTATTTTTTAGCTCGCTCAGAAATCCCTTTTCCAATTTTTTTTTCAAATTTGGCAGGTTTGTTTGTGACAACGAAAGGTATCCTTTGACTGTAATATGACTTGCTTAGTCTGAAAAAAATATCAAAATTTTGAAAAAATAGTGACGTGCCATTTTTTTTTTTCCACTTTTACCAAAAAAACTTGTATATTTTTCTATTTTCTGACCACCCTGTACAGGGTGATCCAGTATAAAGTGAACACCCCCTACCTTTTCGCAAAAAAATTTTTTTTTTTAAAAATCAAGATAGCCATTTGGTGTATTTTGTTTCTAGGTATTTGAGAACGTTTTTGGAAATTTAATTACATTTTTCGGTAAAGCGCTGTGACCAAAAAAGTAATTTTTTTAAATGGAATAACCTATATTTAAGTCATTTTTTTAAACGTCCCTATTTTTCTCATTTCAAATATATACTTAGTTGGTTTATCTTGATTCTAAAAATTTGCGATATATTCTCACTTCAAAATTCACATAAAAATAGCCGAAAAGGTATCATAAAACATAATCACCAGCAGCTTTATTAAAGGTAAAATTATTTAGATTTACCTTGATACCTTTTCGGCTATTTATATTTGAATTTTGAAGTGAGAATATATCGCAAATGTTTAAAATAAAGATAAACAAACTATATATTTGAAATGAGAAAAATAGGGACGTTTAAAAAATTGATTTAAATATAGGTTATTCCATTTAAAAAAAAATTACTTTTTTGGTCACAGCGCTTTAACGAAAAATCTAATTAAATTTCGAAAAACGTTCTCAAACACCTAGAAACAAAATACACCAAATGGCTATCTTGATTTTTTGAAAAAAAAATTTTTTAGCGAAAAGGTAGGGGGTGTTCACTTTATACTGGATCACCCTGTACATGCTATGGCAAGTTTTAATAGATTAATAATAATAATAAAAAAGTTTCTTATATGCTGCGAACTAAAGTGGACACACTGTTTATAAACGTCTAATACGCCATCCACCGTGGGACACCCTGCTATTATTCACAAAGGTGTTTGAAAAGTGCAAAAATCCAACCAAAACAGTTAAAAAATTGCACAAAAAAAAAACTGTCGTCATAAGGTGGAGACCTAATTCAGGTATCAAATTAAAGGTCTCGGCCTCCTTCACACGTTTGGGTGAAATTGCGTAGCCAAAAGCTGCCAAACAATGAGGATGCCTTAGAAGAAATCGTAAAACATTTGCGAAAGACGGTTAGTTATTACTGTATGCTACTTTATCGCGGGCACCCTTGAGGTTCTTTGTTAATAAAGATCTAAAATATCCTTCCTTTTCATCTAATTCGTTCACTTTATGACGATTAACTTTTTGTGGAATACTATTCTACCAGCTTACTTTGCTCCCAATAAAATGCAGACACTCTCCATAACGAATTGAACCAATTTGGGTGGTTTCTGAAACACTTTAACTTCATTAATGTCATTCTTGTTCAATGCTTCGAGGGCCTTGGTGGCTGCTTCTAAAGCAGGAAGGGCAGTGTCCAAGTCCCTTTGAGCATCATCTGCTAGTATTTGAGTTTCGTCAGCTTTAACCTAAACAAGATTTATTCAACATGGAGTTTAAAATATTAAGTGAAGAGTTACCTTTGCATTTTCTTCGTCACCTTTTACAGTCACTCTTACTTTATCAGCTTGTTTTTGTTCCTTGGCTAAATTTTTCATCAATTCTGCTACAGCTTTCGATTTTTTAGCCAATTCGGGCTCCAACGCTATCAAAGTCTCTTTCATCGAATCAATTACTTCATTAGTTTCATATAGTTTTTGCAAACCATTAGCAATTCGGTCTCTTGTTTTTACAATTTTATCTTTTCTATCTTTCAGCATGATTTTATATAGTTTTATCAGCTCCAGATAGCTACTGGGTGTAGTATAGTAATACCGTTTCATTTCGCGATAAAATCTATCAGTCATAATTTCAACACTCTCATGTATAGTGACACAAACCGTAGCTAAGCTATCCGATAGCTCCTCTGAGCCTAATTCTTTTAAGCTGGATTGAGCTACAGATAGTAGCGCTTCTTGTGGCCACTTCTCAAACCAATCTATGGTGCAGCAATTAACGAGTGAAGGAAACATACGACAACGTCGCCGAAATGCGTCACCCACTGGACTCATGCACAAGACCAAATGCAAATTGCTTCTCACTCTGCTCACGAAATATTCGTAGATATGATCACGTCCTTCAGGATGTCCGGCTTTGATAGCAGCCTCGCGACATCCAATAATAACTTGCTCGAATTCTTCGGCTTCAAATAGATTTGGTACATCACCTGGAAGGTCCTAATTTTGATTAAATTTGGAAGAATGTATGATCCATCTCAAACCTGAATTTAAAATGTTATTGATATCCTCTAAAAATTCCTCGTGAACAATTTGAGTATCGGTGAACAAGAAAACGGAGTCCTTATTTTCCACACCCGCGTGCCAATAAAATTTACGTAAATCCTCGAAAAACGCATCGTGGTTGTAGTTTCTGACAAGTTCAATTTGGAAACATTTGTATCCGTTGAGATGGGATGCCAATTTTGTTAAACTTTGCTTGCCCATACCTCCGACGCCTACTAGGAGAGCGTTGCCTCTTTCAGACCTCAAAATTCTCGCGATCCTTACGCAATGTTCGACTGCCATCATGAAAAATATTACTTGCATGTCTTTGTTATAGACCAGATTGAAATCCTCCAAATAATCCTAAAAGACACAAATGTATCTACATTTGTTCCTGGAAAGTTTGGGAGGAATTTTTACCTGTAATAAACTCTTCACTTTATCGATATTTTTCAGCTCTTCGTAGATGCGATCCGCCTTATCAGCTCCAAACTGCATAAAGTCACCAAACAACAAAATTGGAGGATCCAAAAGCAGTGGCGTGTCTGGCAACTGCAAAACAGGATTTCCCAAATTACGTCCACAAATTTCTTTCATTAGAAAATAGAAGTATGACTTGTCTTCTACATTAATCAACCTGCAAAACAAATAATTTAAACTGGATTTAAAATACAGTTTCTTTCTTGCCTGTCATGAAACACTCTCAAACATTCATGATAAAACAGGCGCATCATATCAATTTCCATTCTCATAGTGCCAGAATCGGCTTGCGTAATCCCTTGGATACATTTTGATAGATCTCTTAAGTTAAAAACGTAATGAGACTTTGATGGGGTGGGTAATAGGTCTGTGGCTATACGATCGTAAACTTCCACTGCTGCGTTAACCATATAATCTCCTAAATCGCGACATTCATTAGAGAAATCATTGAGGAAACCTTTGAGAATAGTCTAAAATTTATACTGCTAGTAATATTGTGCATTGAGTTTTACAAATGTTTACTTTAAAAATAGCCTTCAAAGCCATTTCATTGGGTTGAGGTAGCAGGAGCATGCCGAAGTGCCTGACAAATCTAGGAGTTAATGGATTTCTACCACCACCAGGTGGAGCGCAGGCTGTTGTTAATATAACATCACGTATATCTTTCCAAAAAAGTTTTTCCCTGTCGTACAACCCTCCATAGTCCAATAATTGCCTAGAAAATTTAAATTATCATACCAATATCAATAATAGGTATCATATAAATGCAAACATCTTACCTAATCAACTCTATAGGTGGTTGAGCTCCATAAGTCTCCAATTTGGGCATGTTAACATCATCAACAAAAATAATCACTTTTTTGCCCATAGGTGCTCCAAGTAAAGTTTTTTTCTTTCTCTCCAATTTAAGTTCAATTATTTCTTGGGTGCGCATACTGCTAGTTTGTGCAGAAAAGTTCATTGAAGCCGGGACGAAACATTCCGTTCCGCCAAGTCGATTTAATACGTCCCTTGCCACCACAGATTTGCCAACGCCAGTATCTCCAGTTATTAACACAGCACGCTCGATGTAAATTAGCCTCTCCATAACATATCCGAACCTTACAGTATCCAATGTAGGTACCAGTGTATCAAAAAATGCAATTTCTTTATCGTAAATAAATTCCGGCATCGATTTTTGCCAGGATGTTAGTCGTTTCGTTTGCACGTCCATGAAAGAAAACCACAGATCTAAGCCAGGTGGCAACCTAGAGAAAAGAATAGGTTAGAAACGGGCACTCATTAATAATTGATAATTGAAAGGACCTTGCGTCGATGCATTCGTCGAACTGACTATCGACAAAGCTGCCAAACTTTTCTCTACTCTCTTCGGTGATATTGCCTCCAAGACCCCACAAGTAAGACCAAATGAAAATTTGACAAATAAAGCTTCGGACTTTTGCTTTTTCGCCAACTTTATCCATCGCCCCTGGCATCGATAAATGACTTTCGATTAGGGAACATATCATCGTGACCTTAGATACATCCACCTAAGAATAATATGCGGATCGGATAAGTGTGGTTCTTTCTATTTTTATGCATGCTATCTATTTTATTCACAATCATACATGTATAGTTCATACCAAATAAACTTGTTGTTGTGACATCGATGACGCCATTTTTAAAATCGTTATCGCCAACCTTGAAAATATTCGGCGTCGGATTGACTTAATTGGAATTTGAATTTCCCGCTGGCCATTCAGTTGGTAACACCACTTCAAAAAATGTAACGTTGCCAAATGAAATTCTTGACATTTTGAATTTTGATTGCGTTTTGGCAGTTTACGAGATGCGAAGTGTACAAGATGCCGAAGCAGCTTAACAGCCGTTGCAAAGAACTAATCGCATCCTATGGTTACAATATTTCGAACGAGAACGCGATGCGATAATTATGGCCCTTTATGTCCCTTAAATGCTGTTAGGAAGGTGAGTTTATTTCGTGGACCAAGGACCAACTAGGAATTTTCAATTTGAACTTTATTTTCTCTCATTTTTAGCGCGTAGCAAAGGCGTTGAACTTAAGTAGGTATGTCCACTGTCTGTGCTATTTCAAAGGCAGTCAAAAATAACGAAGTTTTGGAATCGCCTTCTGAGAAACGATGTACTTCGAAGAGAGTCTGTGATGTTTCAAAGCTCGATAGCAGTGCTATACGTAACACTAGTTACGTTATGTATACAAAAAGTAAATCGCTTGAGACAAAGGTACATAGATATCTATGAATCGCATTCTTTCTTCTTGTAGTACAACATGTAACATTATCCTGTATATGGGAGCAATTGAAAGCCAAACAATTATTTGATGGATGGCAGTCCCATATGTAATTGAGTAGAATGTTAAAAGAAATAGGCTTCAAATGAAAAAAATATGACCCAAGACGAGGGCTCATGGAACTTCCTGATATTGTTGTTAAACGCATATCATTTTTGAGGTCTTATCTAAGACTGAAACAGGAGGCTTTGTACCAGTTTGTTTTCTTGGACAAGACTTGGATTTTACAAAATGGTACTTTTAATCGCTCGTGGCAAGACAACAACAAGCGAAGAGTTAAAACTACCAAAGTTGATGGTGAAGGTGAATATAAACATGAATACAGAGAGCAGTTGTATTATATGTACAAAGAAATGCTTTTTTAGATATATCATCACTTTATGCTAGCACTGAAAATGGATTCATTGAAGGTGCATCGCTCGTATTTTCATCGAAAACTCAACTTAACGACTATCATGGAGAAATGAATCAGCAAAACTTTTTACGTTGGTTCGAAAATCAGCTGTTGAAGAACTTGAGGAGTGAACCGTGAACCATCTGTCATTGTTATAAACAATGCTCCTTACCACAGAATGTTATTAACGAAGACACCTAATAGTTAGGCTACCAAGGCTGAAATTCAAAATTGGTTAACCGAACAGAAAGTTGAGTATCCAAATATACCATTGAAATCTGAACTTGTGACCATTGTTGCACGGTAAGTAAGTACCTACAATACCAAAATTGTTTGCATTTTATGCTCAACTTCTCAAGTATTGCTTTTTTCAGGAATAAACCAACAAAAAAGTATGTGGAAGATGACTTAGCAGAACAGTATGGACATAAAGTTTTACGACTACCTCCATACCACTGTACCTTTAACCCGATTGAACTTATCTGGAGAATTGCAAAAAACTATTATAACCAACATATTGGCAGAGATGCTTGTTTAAAAATGTGGCGAGAGGCACTGGGAACTGTTACCCCTGAAATGTGGAAAAATTCTATCAGACATACAGAAGGAATAATTGACAAGTGGTATAACAGGGAACAAGTAATGGATAGGCAAGAGGTTCTTTCACTTATTATCAATGTTGATGAAGACTCTAGCGATTCTAGCGATTTCAGTGATCCAGAATAATTGAAAATATTCTTGATGGTTCAAATATTCATATAAAATTTAATCATTTATAGTATTCAGAGTGGCTGTAAATAAAATAGGTACTGGGCGTTATTATTATATTTTATGTGATGATTGACAAATGGGTTGTTATTAAATATCTATTAAACCCAGCTTTGAAACATTGTTTATAATTTAAGTAATAAATTTTTGCATTATATTATAATATAAGGTACCTGACCCAAATAAGGCCATGTACCTAATAAGGCCAGAGCCCCTTATTGCTTAATATTGAATCCCATTTTCAAAAATTACAATATTATTTAAAAAGAATTCTATAATGCAAATCAAAAATTATTGTGAGGGTTCCTAGCAACTCGTTATATGTCGAAAAATGGCCAACCACATATTTCATATGTCACGTTATAACTTCGAGGCTGGAACTTAATTAGTTTATACACATGTTTATAAAGTGAATGGAGAGAATGTAATTTTTACACGGACATTTATGTATTGAGAAAGCTACAGAGTAAGTACAGAATAATATCCTTGCTAGATTTCTAGTTACAGACTTTTTTTTATCAATTTAACATATTCCTAATAAGGCCATTATACGAAAAATGTTCAATTGGCCTCACATCACAGTGTATTTTTTAAAGAATGTGTCATATTATTACCTCAGTGATGTTCTTTGAAATGCCTGGAGTCTAACTAAGCAAGAGATGCTGCGGTTCAATTGTCCTAGTTGTATGTAGACCTATTTAAATCACCATCCCAGGACTTGGAATTATTGTTTTTTTTTTAGGAATCAAGCAAACGTATAAGTTCTATTTTGTGTACTATTTCTCAAATAATAATATTTTTCTACTGACATTTCATAATACGCTATTAAACGATTAAAATCTGTATCATAATGAACTTCATTACGATACAGATTTTCATTATAATACTCATTTTTAATATTATACAATGTAGATAGATGGCAGCACTAGTTAAGATATTAAACATTTTAAACGGTGATTTTGCCTAAAACAATTATTTTGATAACTATAAAAAAGACTCCGAATTGTTTAAAAGTTACCTTAAGTTTGGGACAAAGAATAATTATTATGGAAATCATGAATGATAACGAAGAATTTTTACTTTCTTCATTATTATACATTGTCAATAGATGGCGCCACCAGTTAAAAAAATTTGAATTTTTTTTTTTTTTGAATTTTGACAGCACTCTGTTTATAGCTTTTCCATGGTAATTTAGCGAAAAACAACAATTTAATAAACAAAAATACCTCAAATTGTTATTAAAAGTTAATACCTTAAGTTTGGGAGAAGGCATTATTATGGAAATATTGAGCGATAACGAAGAATTTTCACTAACACCTCTAGAAATTACAGAAAGGGCGACAAATGCAGGTAATAATATACTACCGCACAAGTCCAAGAAAATTTACGAAAAATTATATGGACAATTTATGGATTGGAAACACCAAAAACACATTCGTCCTTCTCAGAAAATGTTTTGATAGTATATTTTGAAGAGTTACAAGAAAAAATGAAACCTTCAACTGTATGGACGCATTACTCAATTATAAAATCCCTATTCAAAGTTAAGCATAATGTTGACATATCTAAATATCATCAAGTTTTATCAATGGCAGTAGAAAAAATAATGTATGCAACTCTCATGTAATGGCCATTAATACACTCGCATGTTATATACGAAACTCGCCTGCGGCTCGTTTCGTATCCTACAACATGCTCGTGTATTAATGGCTATCATTACATGATCATTGCATAATATACTATTTTATAAATAATTGTATTTATTTTGAACATTTTTTAATAGTGGCCTTATTAGGAGCATAGTGATCCAAATAAGGCCAATGGTAAGCGTCTTTGTTTTACGCAAAAACCACCACTTATATAAAAAACTAAATAAATTAGTGTTAATATTCAAGTAATATAAGCGAAACACTTTACATATAAGCTCGTAATTTTTGTTGGGTTTGGTGGATAATGTTAGGAAAAAATAAAACTTCTTAACATGGCCTTATTTGGGACAGGTACCTTAATCCATTATTGTTTCTGAAAATATTTTGACAAAAGGAAAATATGCAAAAGACGGCAACGCTGTGCCGGCCGAGCTTGATAACCCGACTATAATATAATGGCGTTTCCGATTGGTAGATTTAGTGCGGAACTAGTGCAATTTTTTCTATTTCTGTCTTTTTCTTGTACAGGTTGATTAAAAGGATGCAAATACATTCAGTGCGCACTGAATTTACCAATCGGAAACGCCATAAGTTTGTTATTTGGTATGAACTATAATGTTGACTTTTCTGACTTTTAAAAAGTCTGAAAATGTCACTTTTTTACTTTTTTTGGCCGAGTTCGTTTTTCTCATCTTTTTCGTCGATTTCCGCCGAAATTTTGACAGGCACGTGATTTGTAATTTGAAACTGTCTTATCCAGTCACGTGCCTGTCAAAATTTCAGGGCAAATGGACGGAAAAGATGACGAAAACGAACTCGGTCACATTTATCTATTGTATTTTTTGACTTTTATTTCCCACCCACAGGTTGAAAGTTTACATTCCTCCCGTGGGCCAAAAGTAAATGAAATTGTTAAAAGGATAACGCACACCTAACATGGGATTTTTGGGCTCTATGGATTTTGCCCATTTTTTGATATGTTGTAGAGGATTTAATTCTGAACAACCTTTAAATGAGACGAAATCTTGTAGGTATTACGGTCTTTGAGATATGAGCGTTGGAAGATGAACTTTTTTGCTACTTTTTGTGTGGAGAGTATACGAACTCTGTGTCATTTGCGCGAAAACCGTTTGCGCGAGGGAGAAAAGCGCGATACGAAAAGCGCGAGGGAAAAAAGCGCTACGGAACAAAAACGCGACAGGAAAAAAGCGCGATGGATACAAACGCGATGGATACAAACGCGACTGGATAAAAACGCGAGGAACAAAAGCGCGACGGAACAAAAACGTGAGGGACAGAACCGCGACGGAACAAAAACGCGACTGGAATAAAGCGCGATGGACACAAACGCGATTGGATAAAAACGCGAGGAACAAAAGCGCGAGGGACAAAAGCGCGACGGAACAAAAG